TGTTTTTTTTTTTTTTTTTTTTTTTTGCTGATAAAAAAAAAAAATGCAGTCACATTGTTTTACAAGCTATGCTTGCTGTGGCCAAACTGTTAACATAACTGATTAACAAACATATAGAGAAGGAATCAACTCACGAGTTTTCAAATTCTTGATGTGAACTGGCAGATTCGTCAAAATTGACAAAGAGGGTAGACAATAATATATAATTCATTCCATATAACTGAAAGGATTGGCAGCTGATAACGCAATTTAAACAGTTTGCAATTCAGATGCTTCTCTATATGTTTTTTTTTTTTTTTCTGCTCAAAAAAAATGCTGTCACATTGTTTTACAAGCTATGCTTGCTGTGGCCAAACTGTTAACATAATTGATTAACAAACATATAGAGAAGGAATCAACTCACAAGTTTTCAAATTATTGATGTGAACTAGCAGATTCGTCAAAATTACCAAAGAGGGTAGACAATAATATATAATTCATCCATATAACTGAAACGATTGGCAGCTGATAACGCAATTTAAACAGTGAATCTTAAACAATAAAACAAGACATTATATCCTCCTCCTTTCGGAAGGTGCTCATCAGTTTAGCTTAATACACGGTTTGCCACACAACCAACTAACTTCCTTCTACCACAGTTCTACTTCTGTATGTCACATGAATTATGAATGTGTGTGCAAGTACATTTGTACGATCCTGAAACAAGATTTAAATTCAATTTATGCTCAGAATATCAATGCAACTCCTCTTATCTAAAACCATAAAATACAAGTTACAAAACTCGACTTATTGCCCCTTGACAATCATCCTTCACTTCTACTCCACTTTTCACCCCATCATCTTATGTTAGTGCTTTTACGAGATACATCATAAGAAGAAACTAGCCCAAAAACTTAAAAGGGCATACCTTCCGATAATCAAGTATTCCTTCAAAGGGAAGCTCTAGTTCATCACTAATAATAACAGGAATACACCCACTGAAAATAGCATCAAACAATCTAGCAGATGATGGAGTGTCACCAGCTGGACATAGGCAATAAATAGATCTGATAACCAAAGAAGCAACTCACTCTATTAAAAAAGTACAAGAAGAAAGGTACACAGTGAACATTGTAAATTATGCAACTTGAAATTTACTTGCGCATGCCACTCTGAGCTGCTGCTTTTCCTGCCTCTCCAGCACTCCCCTCCTCTATAACTACACCATCAGCACCATTAAGTTCTGACACAAGTTTAGCCCGTATCTTTCCTCCCTGAAAGTAAAACACATTAAATTATTTTGCACCTAGCACACAATAACCACAAGCCAATCCAAATGTCAGCCAAAGAAGTATTATTACGAGTTAGGAAAGATGATGGAAGAAATCAAATCCTGATGGCCTACCAAGGAGTAATGTCATAGGGCCGAAGGATGTGATGATCAGAAACACTTAATAAAAGTCAACACAACGGCTTAAACAGAACTACCATGGGTCAGAGATGTGGGTTTGTTCAGCTGCTCATTGTAAACATAGATCTAAGTATATGTCCTAATAACACGGTTTTCTATCAAAATATACTCACAATAGCTCTTCACATCTCAACTATTTTCTTTCACATTCTTCTGATTTTTACTATCTCATCCAAGGATTGTCCAAAGACTTTATAAGGTCAGCTATCCTCTGATTTTGTGACCAAACTGCGTTGTAATGTCCAGACATTATGACCACTACCATAATTTGACACCGCAAGTGATGATCACTTTGTTCTTAAAGAAACAACTGGTTGACACTTTACAGCGTCATTTACTTTCTATAAATTACAACAATTGCCATCAGATCCCATCTAGATATGTGTTGAAAGGTAACATATGGGTTTTCCCACCAATTAATTATCACAAAATGGGCCAATCTGCATGTCATCAATTATTTTTCAACCAACTCTCTGAAGTACTCGTGAATCTAACTTACTATCACAATCATCTTTGAACAATTTCACTCTACCACATCATGAAATCGTCAGGACATTTTATTCTCTTTTTAGAGATTTGTTTTTGTGAGGATGTAATTTTAAGTGAATATCAATTTAGTTGCAGTCATGATCGAATCTCTCGAGGCTACAGTAGCCATATTGCAAAGAAGTATTTGGGGGAAAAAATTACTAGCTATATTGCAAGTCCATAAGACAAGCATAATGTCAAGTATACTTTCAACCAGGAAAAATAGTTCTAAGCTTATATACTACCAACAATACCACCATATCAAATGAAAAAACTCAATGTAATTCAGTTGTTTGTCTTAGCCGAAAGTCTTACAGCATTTCTCTTCAGTCTTCCACGGAAAAATAGCAGTGTGCTTCTCTTAGATTCAATTTCTAATAAGCATTTTGCATCACACAGATCGACATTGGGGACATAAGGAAGTATCAGGTCTTTCTCAAGCCAACCTTGTCCAGGCTTGTACCTATAGGTTTAAGTATAATCACACATCAGAAGCTACAATAAATTATATTTTTTGGATGCATTTGCAACTTGAGTCAGATATTGACCAGTTTCCTGTTGAGTCCATATCTGGTAGCAGCCAAATTGCATTCTTCATAAATCTGCGGACGGACTTGAAAGACCAAGGATGATGAATCGGAAGTATGTGGTCTCTTCCTTCAGATCGTTTCCATGCAGGCTGCTCCGTGACCCACTTCAAAGCTTCCTACAATCCCCTTTGTGTTAGAACTTCAGAGCACATATGCAAATGCAATATTTTGATAAAGATTAAAGCTTTACCACATAAATAATATAAGTTCATGTGAAATCTACAGGTGATCTCTGCCACGCATGTTATATCACTGCAGCTATAATTAACAGAAATCTCCATATAAAAAAGACAACTAGAGGACCACAAATTTTCTAGTGGTTGTTAACTGCAACAATGCAGAAAATGATTAAAAGAATAAAAGCCCATGCAAAGAGGCAGATGCACATGTGGTCCACTTCCAAATATTTGGGTTATGCACATGGTCAAACACATGTCACAAAAGATCATTTGTTTGAGTCTCTATGTAAGTCAATTTTCGCTCCATAAATCAAGTGAACAAACCAAGTTGAAGTAGCTTTCTGACAGCTTTGAGGTGCTTGAGATAACCACCTTGATGCTATACAACAACGGAATCCAGTTGGGGAAAGTGACGATGAAAATAGTTTTTAGTAAGAAGCACTCCTCATGACCCTGGTATTATACACATTGAATGATACCAGACACATCCAAACACCCAAACACCATATGGAGTCAGTCCTTCACTACTTTCAGCTCAAGTTTTCAAAAGAGCAATAATAGTTACCATTGCCCAGTGGGGATGAGATCCCTAATCCTCCATAAATAAACTGCATCATCACAACATCAAGACAAAGGAATGCTAAGAGAATGTACATGCAGGAGCCACCTTCAGGGTAATAACTTTTCTAGGTAAAGGTTACACTTTTGCCAGCCTACTTAAATCCAGTCTGTCTTATAAAGGTATTTGTCCATCTGATCCAACCATCTTATTCAAGGCAATCAAATCTAACTAATTGTATCAAATATCAATTAGAACAGCGATGTCAACAGACATACCCAATTTGTCGAAAAACTGGAAGTATCAAATAAACCAACAGCAGAAATCATAAATAGGATATCATAACATGATAGGAAAAATGCTTCATAACCCACCCCTACGTCAAAATTATAACCATGTTTGAAATTACCCATCAGGTTGTCAGAATTTCTGTTGGAAAAAAAAAATCAAAAGCAAGACTTTTTACCCAGCTTTGTACTTTTATCATAATCTCTCTTTAAATTCAAATATGCAGTTACCTAATCATTCTATTAAGTGCGACAAAAGAAAGACAAAGAAGAAATGAATAAATAAGATGAGGGAAAAAAAGTATCAAGGTCCTTAGGCACAGTCAAGAGTCTAAGACCAACAACAAACCAAGGCATCATCTGATTGATGCTTGCCTAGAAACAAATGTTTAAAACATACTTATAGAGAGAGAGAAAAATGACAGCCAATGAGGAAGCAACACTTCGCAAAGCATGTGATAGAGTGTGCCTAGGATTTGAGGAATACTGGTCACCAATGTCAAAACGTTAACCATAATAAGCCTAAGACTTGTGACCTATGAAGCACGGATACTCTCGAGAAGGTGACGTATCCGTGTCGGACACCGACACTCTTCGTACACATGTCCGATATTCTTTTATCCGTGTCCATAATTAAATGATAAAATTTTAATTTTGGACACGTATCCGACACTTCTTTGGTGACATGTTGACACTTTTTTAGAACTTGTCTACTACTAAACAATAAACATGTGTTGAAATGTGATTAACAAAGTTTAAAAAGTTGAGAACATAAAATTGTCAATACTAGACATATTAAAATTGTACTCCAAATATAATAATAAAAACAAAAAATCCATAAAAGTTTTGAAAAAGAATAATTAAGAAAATGAGAGCAATTGTTTAAATTATATATTAAATACACATTGTCTACAAAAAAAATTGATGATTATTGACTATTAAGAGGATGCTTTAGTCTAAAAATTCACATAAATGATTAGACATAAGATTTCCTTATCATAAAATACTAAATCTTTTATAAATTATATATCATTATCACTATATTTGAAATAAATTATATTAATGTTATATATAAAATATAATTTTTTGTAGCGTGTCCCCAACGTGTCCGTGTCCTACTTTTTTGAGAAATATCGTGTCAACGTGTCCGTGTCGTGTCGTATCTGCGTCCATGTCCGTGCTTCTTAGCTTGTGACTAACCACAAGAGACAGACCCAAAAACTCAGCGAAAGACTTGAAATAAGGTCCAACCAACGAGCCCATCATTCCACGCTAATGGTTCTTACATTCTTTTCGGGCCGAGCTGCTAACGAGACAACCCAGCACTGAGGTGTGTCCAACCTTATGCATTCGCAACGACGGGAACTACATCTCCACTGAATACACTCGAGCATTCAAGATGGGCTTACTGGTGGCTCGTCGCTACGGCCTATTACCACTACATGGAGCCTATCTCCTTGTGGAAGCTAGTGAATAGGTCAAAACATTCTCATATAGCTTGCTTTCAGGCACTACCATAGGAATACCTCAGGTGTTGAGGATTACCTAATCGAGGCTCAAAGGTACATGTAGTTTCCACACACACTGAATAGGTTGCTACTCTACCAAAACACCTACTCACTCGAGCAACAGAGGATCATCAAGTCAACACCTGCTGTTGAGACAATGTTCCTTTTGCTGACTGTTCAGCTAAAAGATGAACATAAAAAACCGTTTTTACCAGACCAGAAGATGACATTAATAGGAATTCTAAAAAACCAAGTGACATACAAGAATATAAAGCTTTAATGTAGGCCTCAAAATGCACTCACACCCTATAAAGTGACTTGCACTGCTGTTTCTCCAACAAGAAGAAGCTTATTGTTGTGAAAAACGGAATGTAGAATAAGTCTGCCTCTTCTTGCCGATAGACTCTCACAACACTCTTCAAAAGCCTTTCTGATTCCAGAGTAATCAAATCCACCCACAACCAGTAATCAATAGAATGCTGCACAAAGAAAAAGAAAAAAAAATTTGAATAAAAAAAGTTACCACTGAATCCTCAAAAATTAAACTTAGTTTAATCCTCTAAAAAATATATTGTCAAGGAAAAAATTACGCTGAATTAGAAAACATATTACTACACCTGTTCGATGAGTCGGTGAACAGGACTACCATTGGACGTGAGATTTGAAGTCTCTCTATATGTATTTCGAAACAACCAAAGTAAATCGTGGGTGAATTTCGATGGCATCTTGTAAACGTAAACCCTAAGGGCTGAAGGTGCCAATGGCGAGAATGCAGAATAGAATGATTGTTCGAAAAGCCTCTCAGTCTCTCCCTTCGACATCAAATCATCAACTTCTTCACATCCTCTTCGCTCACTGAATGCACCGTATCATCCGAAACCATATGAGATCTCTGATTCTTCGAGGTGGAGGTCAGGAATTCTTCGAGTGAAGTCACAAAGGAGTACTCAACTTGAGGATTGAGTTTAGAGATCTGAAAATCGTGGATAGG